CCCGAATAACATTCTCTTAGCTTCACGGCGGTCACAAAATTTGCCAGAGAACGGTTTTTCTTTGGTAAAATTTCGAAAAATCCAAACACTGGGGACTGGTTTATACTCTCGCCAAGGAAGTGTCACGATTGTCGGCCGCTAGAAACCGCTCAAGTGTTTCCTGTTGTGTCGTCGCCTGAAAATCTCCTAGGTTTATTTTTCTTTGGAGGTCGTGCTTCTTTTTGAGCCCAACAAGACAGCTAAGGAAATAGGAAACGGTAATGTGGGTAATGGGCCTGTGGGTCATAATCTCACAAATAGCTTGAAAAAACGCTTATTTAGATGAAACTTTGACAAAGCTGGCTCATTTTTCCACCGCAGGTTGCATTGACTGGCGATGATCAAGTTTTTACGGCGCTGTCGCACCAGTGCCCTCTGGAAGTCGAAATGATCCTCTAGCACTGCTTAGGAGGGAGCAGGAACTTAGGGAAAAATTGCTCATACCTCCTAAATTTTTCTTCCCGGCTTATGGTTAGCTAAATTTTTAACAAATTGGAGATGCACTTGGTTTTGGGTGCGTTGCCACAAGCATGCCAAGCAGTATACTGCGACAGCGCCATTTTTACTTCTCTGGAATATATGTGATCTAATGAGCGCCATTAGCCTTCTCTGAAGTTTTCTTATGTGGAAATGTTATGTGTGAAACTTCTGTGTGCTGTTTCCAGTGATCACAACTGACACATTCATGTCAAGAAAGAATGCAGGAAATTTCCCGCGAAGGATTCCTTTAATGTCCGAGTTCAGTGACGTAATCAGAACTGCTCCGCCCTCCAGCTTTCGTGGTCATTACATTTGAGACGACGTCAGAGGCTTGGCATTCTGAAAGTAACCAATCACCTGTATCACCTGTATCCGACTCGTCCTCGCAAGCTTCTCCAATTTGCGCAAGTCGACTTTGAACCATTCATTCCGGTCCTGAGCATGTCTTCTCCATTGTTGGCCAAGCATTTTCACCATCGGATCGGCCCATCTCGTTTTGGGCCTTCTTGGCGATCGCTTGTGGTCCAACGGGATCCAATTCATATATCTTGTAACTGAGTTACTTGTGCGCTCCACGATTGGTTAGATTGATGTTGACTTCCAGGGCTTCATGTCGAAAATGGTACTTCATCGATCCAGATTGGCAACACAAGGATAAACAACTTCCGGAAAATTCGTGGTGAAGGTTCGTATCAAGCTTCGACGGTAACTCTTTCACGATAAACTGAATTTTACTCTGGCTGTATAACTAAAGGCGGAGCCATTACGCAATTATGGAAAATCTTGCCATTTCCAGCAGTTTGAGTTTTAATGAATCAAACCTAATCAAAGAGAGAAATGCGTTTTTCGGTTACGAAAAGGATACTGTCAGCTGTGCTGTAGAACAACTACCATTTCCATGGGAAAAACTTCAGCTTAACTTGTGACTTTCATTATTGAGAAAAATCTATTTTTACTATCCCGTTTTGAATTTATTTTTATTCGATTAAATTTTCATCCTTGTTATTCCCCATTCGATGTAAATCTCTCACCATCCCTTGCTATTTTTCAAATAATAGTAAAAACCAATTTTTATTATTACTGAGAAACTCCAGTTTCAGATTCTCACTCAACTCGCCATGCAAAAAATCTCGGCTGAGATGAGCGAGATGAACAACTGACACTCCGCTTCAGTGCACCAAACATTCAAGCCACAATGGCAGCCCACTCTGCCAGAAAACCTGGTAAGCTCATCCAAAGCTTGAATCAAACACATTTGAAATGGGCCGGTCACTCAGTAATTACTGCAGTTTTATGCGGTGCTAATGAAGTTGTGATCGTGCGAGGCGTAAGAATCTTTGACTAGGTGCTAAAGTCCCCAATTAAGTACGGTCGTCCAACTCAGCTTTGTTTTTGAGAGCGACGTTCGATTTGGAACTCTCCGCTTCATTAATCTCGAGGTCTCCCTCCAACGTCTAGACCGACGGCGAAACAAATTTATTAACCTGACTCACATACAAACATATAAAGACACACACGCAAGTAAAAAAGACAAATCCAATTCCTACGGGGGCCTCAAGGCGATAATCAAAGGCTGGAGCGGCACCAGCCCAGCCACTCTCGCCAGGACACGCGATCCAAACAGGCAACAAACACAACTCCACTACTCCGTGCGAGCTGATTACTAACGGTACCTTTCCCGCACCACCAGGGGGATCAAGCGGCCACGCCGTATTTGGTTGATGACCACATTACACATTTCTCGTGCCAATTGTACTGCAATCTTCATCGGCGCCCAAAGAGCCAACATCATGCCACCTTACTCTCCCCTCCTCGCGGCGTTCCATGTGTAGCGGCAACCAGTATGATGTCCAGCGGACGGTCGCACCCGTCCCATCGCGATACGTTATCTATTCACCCACATCCTTAATTCGGCCTCACTAGAACGTATTCGACACACTCCCACCCAGAATCGAAAGCTTCTTCCTCTTGGTGACTGCTTCCTGATCAATCCTTGTCGTGAAAGTGGCTCCACGACTAATGCCTCCCCGTAGCGAATCGCAATGGAGTCTGACTCTATTTTCTACACGATTCTCGATCAAATATTTCTCAAAGTCCATGTGCAAAAATCGAACCGTTTCAGTGCCACAATGCCGAAGTGAGAACTTACAATCATCTGATGAAGGTTCCTGAGGAAGATACAGATTCCAAAGGTTTGCTTTACTCTACAGACTGTCATGTTAAATTTATAAAAGTATAGCAATAAAGAACTGGTTACTTCTGCAGTTTCAGACCCTCACTACATGATAAATGTTTCGGATGGTAATCCAGCAAAGGTATAAATCAGGGGAGATTGTGTTGTTGGGGTGGATGGATAACTTGAAAGCAGTACATTTTATGAGCAACGTTTACTACAAAGGAGCTAGAAGCAGTAAAGGCTAGCCTTCTAAAGTCTAAGCCGTCAGGTACGATCGCTCAGCTTTCAATGGTTGAGTAAAGGGCGCTCATGCTGCAATAATATACAGGGGTGGCCAAAAAAAAGAGACACTTGACTCCACATTTCAGACAGCATTAATCACACTTTGCTAGAATCAAATCGACTGCCCCCAACTCATTATTGAAGAGCACCTTCTAATCTATCTAAACCTTATACGACAGCCTTCTACACCGACGACATCAGAAGATTTTCCCACGGAAATATAGTTCGCGATACGAGCTCAACGGGGTCGTCGAGGTACCATGGACCATTACGACGTCCCTGAAACGATGGTCAAGTGTGGTTTTGCATAGTCACAGCTAATGTCTCGAGGAAGCTATTTAATCGTCAATCCATTGAAGAAATCGTGAAGTAGCTTCAGGCCGGAGCGATTACGGTAAGCCTCGTTGAGCTCGACGGTGGCGGTAGATGACGTCATATTCTGGAGACGGCGGGGACAGCGAAGGAGGGGCTGCTTCTGCTTACGGGGGAACACCTATGGAGTATTACGCCGTAGAACTTTCACTAACATCGGCACTCTGTGCGACGAAAAGTTCGATGATGTGCGCCATGGGCAAAGTGTCTTTTTTTTTGGCCACCCCTGTATATGTGGATGTAGAAAATTTAATCAAAATATTGATGCAATTCGATTTAGATTCTTCGACATAAAGCTGTTATGGAAGCGAGTTCACTCGATATGTCTCCAGAGGAAAGAAATGAGTACATGTCCCCTTTTAAAACCCTTTTCGGAACTGTCTTCAAAAAGGAGGTACGAATTGCTATTCTTAGGAATAGGTTTCTGCCAAGGAAAGGCAATTCCATACAAATTCTTCTAGGTGCTAGATCAAAGAATGACGACATTCACCACATTCGGTAACGGCAAGCTTGCGAAAAAAGGTGAACATATGAAGGAAATTCTCCCGGGCCTTATCGATCTCGACGTTGATAACATGGCGAAGGAACTTGGTGGGGTATTACTTCGAGAATGTGAAGCGAAGAAAAATAGTCGGAATAGAATGAAGACATCGAACATCGAACTTATAAATACGGTTGGAGGGAGGGCAAAGAAATAGTAAGAAATCAGTTTTGCGCACCTAACCTCAGAACTGAAGCCTAATATGCGCCCAAAATCGCGCCTCCTACCTTAATTCGTGCTCACATAACTGAGAGAGCACGCGGGACAATCTGCGCAAGCAACACATTGGTATGTCATGTAATTAGAAAATCTTGGCCCGCTATTTACCTCCTGCCACGGACACTCACGTCCCTCTGAGACATCGTGAGATGGGTTTTTTATCGAAATTTGTCCTTGACTGTGATCGTCTAAAATAACTCTCTATGTCCAGGGGTAGTTCAGTATTGAGGAGTGGGGCAGTAAAGGGTAAATAGTGCCAAAACTTCTATAGGAAAAGAGTGAGATTATGAATGAAAATTGTGATTGTATTGTATTGTACTTCATGGGATGTGTTTATCACAAGGTAGAGAATACATAGAACATTTCTTGGGGGTGTCCACACATTTTCTTCTATTCAAATCAGGTGACTATTTCGCATTCACCGATTTGGCTAGTAGAAGCGACAGACGCCACCTTATGCAGTTTAATCCTCTTGCTGCAAATATTACCTATTGACGAACGCGCCGAAGTATGGACACTTCTGGGCCCAAAGGCCATGCTGACTTAGGAATTGATTACTGTAACTTGCGCGTCTGATGCAACGCCACTTGCACCACACTAATTTCTCCGTACAGATAGATGTTCACGGCTTCCTAAATATATAATACGATAAATATAAGGAAAATAAATTGTGGTCGTGGATTAGGGCAAAGGACAACGTGAGCAGCAGCTTTATACTATCGCTGAAAGATTCAGCGATATGGAGACGGTAAAGCTTTCAGGAATGGAAAGCGTTTTGTGTCATGGCGATTTATGGTCCATGAACGTGCTGTGGAGGCAAAATGGAGATGCCCTCAACATGGCTGTCTATTGGCGACTATGTTTTGTTTTCAGTAAATTGCAGCGAATTCTGGACAAAACATAAGCGCGATCGCAACGACGGGGCATTGTGAGTGGCAATACAGTCAAAACCACGTGAACATCTCTTGAAAAGGACACGCTCTAACGATAAGCGCATGGAAAAGCGAGTTTAGGTGAACAAGTATATCAGATTCCTCAAACTTTTTTGGCCCTCTTGAGCTCAGTGCTAATGCCCCTGTATCTTGCGATAGCGCCGAAATCTGATCCCTATATAAGCTTAGTCCTGCTATCGGAACACTTCAGAGAGCCCATTTCGGTTGTGCGGCAACCGATCTTGTACGGATATTTGGCGCTTGTCTTAGCGGGTAAGGATCGGCAAGCGCATTGGGAGGAGCTCTTGGAGGAGTTCTACGGATATCTCAAGGAAGAAGTGGGTGGACTCAGAAAATAGCTCATACACTCACTCGAACAGGTTGGCACTTCCAGGAACATCTACCCTATTCTTCTTTTTAAATTCAATGGATTCAACCTTCTATTATTTCCCAGCTCAAAGAAGCCTATCGCCAGTACTTCCCCATCGGTGCTTTCATGATAGTGGCTGTGGTTGGACCATTTTTCGAGATGGTGTGTAAAACTTCCGACGAGGAGACCAAGAAGAAGGTACCGTTGCTGTTACTTCAGAAATTTGAGGCACGCAGCGCCGACTTTTGGACCAGTTAGGACAGCGCTACCACAACTTTAGACCGACATATCAGTGCCATCCCCTTTGAAGGAATGTTGAACTGCTCCCGTTGTTCCCCTACTACCAATGTCGCGATCCATCCCAATTTCCTTTGCCTATGTTTAATACATTGCCTAGCCGAGTCCGATGCGAGATAAAAGTTCGAAGTACTTCTGGCGTTATAGGCGCCGAGATTATCGAGAGCACTCTTTGCGCTATGAACCATAAATCGCTGCGCAATGATATTAGTGCTAAGTGACCACCTGAAAACATACCATGCCTTATCCCGCGCCAAGCTGTTTTAAACCCGAGTTACAAGTTTTGATAGCACTCTGACCACCAGAATCTCTGACCGCCACTGTATTTTTTGTTAGTTGCGGGTCGCCTTGGAACATAGAAGGAATTTGGCCGCGTAGGGAAGGAAGGAAGGTGTGCACTCTCTTCATCCTGCAACCCATAAATTACTACCCTCCTCTGTTGACACACTCCTTTCTCTGGAGGGTTTTGGAGTCTAAAAACGCCGAGCATGCCGGTTCTATGATGCAACCCTGTCTTCCCCGACCATAGGATACGGCCAGCACGTGCGACGCGTATCTCCCTGAGAGAAGACGCCCAAGGTATCTCCTCAAACATTTTCGCGGCCGTGGCGCGGGAGAGGGCTGTTTGAGCATGAGCATGGACGTCTGCCCGCTCTATTGGGGCATAGTTGTGTGGTTGATTGTAGCATGGTGACGCTCCTTTAGTCTTGCCCATTCCTATAAATTTTCCACACTTAGTAGACTTAATTAGTGTATTCAGGAGGGGGCGGTGTCTATGGTCTATCATACATAATTTTATAGAGTAAACAATTCCATATGATTTTAGTAGCCCATCGGTGTGCGTTCCTATGAATTTTTACAGGGTATGGACATTGTTATGGAAAAAACTGAGTGCCTGATGGACGACATCGTTCTATTTTCACGACCGAAACATTAAAACTTCGGAAAGGAAAAGTAGTTGCTTAGAGACATTGTAATAAATAAATAAAGTTAAATATATATATGAATATTGCTAAATATATGCATTAATAAGGTAAATAAATCATAAATCACATAAGAATGTGCTAGTGGTCGATTCTAATACGAAGCGACATGACATACAATTTTCAAAACGGTCTTCTGAAGTCTGATTAGAGGCTCACGTGAAGGAGCAGAGCCTATAGTCCTTTTCCGACGCCCCCCAGTAACGCCAAAACAACGGAAGGTGTCCAAAGATTTTTTCCCTAGAAAAGAAGCCAGCCACAATAAGTTTTAAAATACTGGGATCTATTGAAATATTTATTGAATTGAGTGTTGAATTCAGCGGACCCAATACGTAGTAAGGCACCCACAGGAACAGACAAGCTACATTTGGATCGGCGAACCGGCAAAATAACGAGAATATCAGGGCTGCGTAATCCTTTGGGGAGGGTTGTTACCTAAACTGGGTCTAGAAATGAGGGAGGAACTCCGTGGAGGTGGGGGAGGGAAAAATGAAAATTGCTCACACTCTCCCATCGCCTGCGGCAAGCCATCGCCTCTTAAGCTTAGTTGAAATGGGGAAAGGGCGAGGGGACGTTAGGGGATGTTGGACTTCTGGGCTTACTGCATTATGATCCCCCGCTCAAGTACATCAGGGCCAGCCTTTCATACAACAAGATCGCATTGAGAAAGCTCTACTACCTGAGGCAGAACTCAATTCTAAGGAGAGAAATGCAGGAAATCTAAGCAGAAGTAAAGGAAATGGCGGACCTCTGTGACGTAATTGTGATTGGCAAAGATGAAGTATTTGCTCGTAAAGCGCTCATGAGCCAGAGTATGAAGTGTGGCCGTGATAACGTCGGGAATGATAAGAGTTCTTTTGTCTATAAAAAGAACGGACTGACTGATTTCTCAAACTTCACGAACTGGAACAGGCCCTTTTGCCTCATGCCTGTTCCACTCGCCTCTAGAATAAATCCTCTTGATATTTTTTTTCAAGTTTCAATTATGCTGCTAGCGAGATACACAACTACTCTGCTTGTTGTGACATTTTTCCAAAGCTTTCTCAGAAGAGCTCAAAATGCAGTTTCAATCCTTGCAGAGGTCATGTCTTTGAATTTGTATACGCCTGCCGGCGGTCTCTATGGCACTCATGTCACTTGGGAGGACGTTGAGGAGGATATGCAACGAGAACTTGACACGGTCGCCACTTTTGGGCCCAACAAGACCGCTAAGGATATCGGAGACGGAAATGTGAGTAATGAGCCCGTATGACATTCTCTTAGCTTCACGGCGGTCACAAAATTTGCCAGAGAACGGTTTTTCTTTGGTAAAATTTCGAAAAATCCAAACACTGGGGACTGGTTTATACTCTCGCCAAGTGAAGTGTCACGATTGTCGGCCGCTAGAAACCGCTCAAGTGTTTCCTGTTGTGTCGCCGCATGAAAATCCCTAGGTTATATTTTTTCTTTGGAGGGCGTGCTTCTTTTGAGCCCAACAAGACCGCTAAGGATATAGGAAACGGTAATGTGGGTAATGGGCGTGCACAAAAGGTACTTATAATTATTGCGCAAAACTCTCTCTATTTCTTCTCTCTCTTCGCCTTTCTTTCTTGATCCACCTCCTTCACTCATCTTCTTGGTTCACGATCTCACAAATAGCTTGAAATAGCACTTGTTCCGATGAAACTGACAGAAGCTGAACTTACAGATGGTTCATTTTTCCACCGTAGGATGCGTTGACTGGCGATGATCAAAGTTTTTACGGCGCTGTCGCAACAATCCTCTGGAGCCCTCTGGAACTTTCAAAATGATCCCTCTAGAACTGCTTAGGAGGGAGCAGGAACTTAGGGGGAATTGGTAACGTAACCTAAGATTTTTTCTTACCGCCTGAAGCTTAGCTCCATTTTTAACAAAATCGAGATGCACTTGGTTTTGAATGCATTGTCACAAGAATGCCCCCGTATATTGCAATAGCGCCATTTTTACTTCTCTGGCCTATATGTGATCTCATGCGCCAGTACCCTTGTTTGGAAGTTTGCTTACGTGAAAGTCAACTTAAATAAAACCGTTCAAAACGCGGAAATGTTCACGCACCACATACACCAGGGTGCAAATTTCCATGCAAACTGTCACAAGCCTTTTTGACTGTTTCCCGTTAACCGAAAGGTACTGTCAGCCTGTGCTGTCCGAACAACTACCAATGAGAAAAACTTCAGCTTCCCTGTGATTTCATTAAGAAAAAGAGAAAAGAGAGAAAAATTGAGAAACGAGAAAAATCTAATACTTACTATCCGTTTTGAATTTTTTTATTCAATTGAGTTTTCATCCTTGTTATTTTTCAAATGATAGTAAAAATCAATTTTCACTGTTGACGAAAACTAACATTTTCAGATTCTCACTCAACTCGCCATGCAAAAAATCTCGGCTGAGATGAGCGAAATGCACAACGTTTGAGAATCGTCTGTCCAATTCAAGGACAATTGGAGCACTGCAGAAAATTGTAAGCTCTCGAACTCTGTCTCAGTTACAATTTTGAAATGGCCGGTCACCAGTACGTTAATCGTCAGTTTTATGCGGTGCTAATAGAAGGTTATGATCGTGTGAGGCGCTAGAGAGTCTAATAAGGTGTATTCTAACGTAATTATGCGTCCATTTATAGTTATGAGCTGCGTTTGCCATATCCCCAGCGAGCATACAGATTTCGGCGCAAGCTCGATAGGTAAGTTACCAGCAAAGACGATTTCAGACGAAGTGCTCCTTGTATCAAATTTGGTTCTTGGGAGTTTCCAAAAGTCATCCCTAAAGCTCCAACTAAGTACCGTTGTCAACTCAGCTTGGTTTTGGAGCGGCGAGTCTGTCTGAATCATGTCGATTATCTGGTTGTCTCTAAGGTTCAGAGCGAGCGACGACCAAATTATTGATGATCTCACAACAAACTCCAGTGAACAATAAAATGAAGACAGCAAGTGAAAAAAGGGAAATCAATTTCCCTATCGGGGCTCAAGGCGATAAAAAGGGGGTAGGGCAGGCAGCCACTTCGGCCAGAGCGATCCAAAAAGAACAACGACCCTCCAAAGTGCGATGCGTTATTTATGCGGGACTTCCCCGCACGACCAGGGTGGACAAGGCGGCCACCGCGGTATTGGGCTGATGACCACCCATCAAAACAGTTCTCTCTTGTGTGACTTCATTATCGGAAGAGCAAACCATGCCATTATCTCCTTCGGGTACCCGGCAGTCGAGTTGGATAAGAGTACAGGGAGGCGGACCGGCTCCATCGCGTGCTGTAGTTGTCCTCAACGTCAGCTCATAGAACGTACCATTGTGCGTCCAACATGACAGCACCCGCTGGAAGCTGGTCCGCTGACTCTGGCTTCTTTCCCGCGATACGGGCTCTTTGTCTGGTACCAATTCCGGTGATGTTCTATCGCTCCGCTCCCAACTATGCATTATGCCACTTGTTTGCGATTTGCCTCTTTGGAAGCTGAAGACTTGAAGTTTGCTAATATGTCCTCTCCCCGTTGTGGTGCTGTCTTCTCAGCAAATTTAAGGAAAACGAATCTGCCCTCCTCCTCCCGCTTCCACCAAAAACTGCTGGAGCAAAATTGTGTGACCGGCGTCATTCGACAGCTTTAAACTCATCAGAGAAGTTCTTGCTTAATGAGCTGCCTGATCAAATCCTGTCTTGAATGGGCACGATAATGCTCTGTAAAGCGCCAATAGGGTCTAACTCGCGGTAGACGGTAAATATTCGGCATCAACTTCCATTTGCAAAAATCGAACCGTTTCAGTGCCACAATGCCGAAGTAAGAACTTACAATCATCTGATGAAGGTTCCTGAAGGAAAGATACAGATTCCAAAGGTTTGCTTCTCTTTGCGGACTGTCATGATAATTATCAAAGGCAGATAAGATTGTTACTTTTGCTATTTCAGATCCTACTACATGAAAATGTTACGGAATGGAATCCAGTCAAAGGATATATAATCATGGAGTATCTGGATAATTTAAAAGCAGTACATTTTTATGAGAACGTTACCACAAAGGAGGTAAAGCAGGTAAAGTAGCTTCAGGAAGATTGAGTGCTCAGTAGATCGTCGAACTTTCGATTAAGTAAACGTCATTCTGGAAGTAATACAGAATACATGATGAAAATTTACTCAAAATATTGATGCAATTCGATTTAGATTCTTCGACATAAAGCTGTTATGGAAGCGAGTTCACTCGATATGTCTCCAGAAGAGAGAAATGAGTACATTTCCCCTTTTAAAACCCTTTTCGGAACTGTCTTCAAAAAGGAGGTACGAATTGCTATTCTTAGGAATAGGTTTCCTCCAAGAAAAGGCAATTCCATACAAATTCTTCTAGGTGCTAGATCAAAGAATGACGACATTCACACCACATTCGGTAACGGCAAGCTTGCGAAAAAAGGTGAACATATGAAGGAAATTCCCGCGGGCCTTTATCGTCTCGACGTTGATAACATGGCGGAGGAACTTGGTGGGTATATGCTTGGAGAAGTGTAAGCGAAGAAAAATAGGTCAGAATGGATATAAGATCATCGAGTTCTATAAATACCGATTAGGATGAGGATTAATCCGATTTGCGCACCTGTAACCTATAGGGAACTGAATGGCAAAATCGCCTCCTACCCTCATTCGTGCTCATAACTGAAGAAGAGAGGGAAAAACGTGGGATGAACACCTTCGGTAGTTGAAATAAGAAAAAGTCGGCACTATTTACCATTCACTGCCCCACTCCTCGAGAACTGAGCTGGGTTTTCATCGAAATTTGTCCTTGACTGTGGATTCGCCTAAAACCTACCACCAGGGGTAGTTCGACCCGTAGAACACAAACATCACATTCGGTCGCCGCTAGAGCGCCTTACGCTCGCGCCAAAAGCGCCGGCGCTAAGAGGAGTCAGATCGTGATCTAACTAATGGATGTGGATCAACGTCGTAACTGATTTCAGAGGTACTGTCGACGTAGAACATGAATATGCCAAGCGTTGTTGCGCTAAACCGGATGTGATGTTCGTATTCTACGGGTCGAAATACCTCCGGCAAACAACTTTCTAGCCAAATCCTTAGTCATGGACGAATTTCGATCAAAATCCGGTTCAGTTCTTGAGGAGTGGGGCAGTAAAGGGTAAATAGTGCCAAAACTTTCTATAGGAAAGAGTGAGATTATGAATGAAAATTGTGGATTGTATCATACTTCATGGGATATGTTTATCACAAGGGTAGAGAATAACATAGAACATTTCTTGGGGGTGTCCACACATTTTCTTCTATTCAAAATCGTGGTGACATTGTCGATTGCGATTAGGCCTATGACGGACAGAGGCCGCCTACTGCGTTTTAATACTCTTGAGCAGTCTGGCAACTATAACGACGCCGGACACTATGGACTCTTGTGCCAGATGATAGACTTAGGACTTGATCCCTGTAACGGATCCGCGCGCGGCCGTCTGCAAGTCTCTTGCACCAACACAATTTCGCCGATACAGATGGTGTTCATGCTTCCTAAATAATACGATAATTGTAAGGAAAATAAGAATTGTGGTCGTGGATTGGAACACAAATTTGTAAAGGACCCGTGTGCAGGGAATTTTTCAGTATCATATCGAGACGGTGTAAAGCTTTCAGGAATGGAAAACGTTTTGTGTCATGGCGATTTATGGTCCATGAACGTGCTGTGGAGGCAAAATGGAGGTGCCCTCAACATGGCTGCTATTGTGGACTATCAGGTAACTTTTGAGGAATCTCTGGGACAAATCTAAGCGCTATCGCAAGATACCGGGACATTGTAGTGGCAACGCAGTCAAAACTACGTGAAACATCTTTTTTATTATAGAAAAAGAGGACTACGTCTAACGATAAGGCATAGGAAAGAGAGCTCAGGTGAACAGTATATCAGATTCCTCAAACTTTTTTGGCCCTGTTATAGCTCAGTGCTAATGCCCCTGTATCTTGCGATAGCGCCGAAATCTGATCCCTATATAAGCTTAGTCCTGCTATCGGAACACTTCAGAGAGCCCATTTCGGTTGTGCGGCAACCGATCTTGTACGGATATTTGGCGCTTGTCTAGCGGGTAAGGATCGCAAGCTCATTGGGAGGAACTCTTGGAAGAGTTTCTACGGATATCTCAAGGAAGAAGTGGGTGACAGAAAAATGCCATACACACTCGAGCAGGTTGGCACTTCAGAAACATTACCCTACTCTTTTTTTCAAATTCAATGGATTCAATCTGTTATTTATTTCCAGCTCAAAGAAGCCTATCGCCAGTACTTCCCCATCGGTGCTTTCATGATAGTGGCTGTGGTTGGACCATTTTTCGAGATGGTGTGTAAAAATTCCGACGAGGAGACCAAGAAGAAGGTACCATTACTGTTACTTCAGAAATTTGGAGGCACGCAGCGCTGACTTTGGACCAGTTAGAACAGCGCTACCACAACTTTAGACCGACATATCAGTGCCATCCCCTTTGAGAGGAATGTTGAATTTGCTCCCGTTACTCCCCTTGCTACCAATGTCGCGATCCATCACCGTTTTCCTTTGCTATGTTTATACATTCCTGGCCGGTCCGATGGAAGATAAACTTTTCAGTGCTTTGGCTTTATAGGCGCTTTGAGATTATCTTAGAGCGCTCTTTGCGCTATTTGAACGATAAAGTGGTGCGCCAAGGAGTAAGTGCGTAAGTGACGGCACCGAAAACAACCATGTCTTAATGCCATCCAGCCCAAGCTGTTTTTAACCCCGAGTTACAAATATTGTAACACTGTCCATCAGGAATCTCCTGACCGCCTATATTTTTTGCCAATGCCAGATCTGCTTTGAGAACAAGACAGGAATCGGCGCCCGCGTAGGGAAGGGAGGATGGTGTGCACTCTCTTCTCCTGGCATCCATAGATTACTACCTCCTCTGTTGACAATAACCCTTTCTCTGGGGGGGGGGGGTTGAGCAGAAAAGCGCTGAGTATGGCCAGTTTGCTGGCAACGCCCTGTCTTCCCGTGACATCGGTATAGGGCCAGCAGCGTGGGACGCGGCCTCCTTGGAGAAGGACGGCCCCAGGGATCTCCCAAACATTTTTTGCCGGCGCATGGGCTGTGGGAGCAAAGCAGGATTCGGCCCGCCTTATTCGGGGAAGGAACATGGTGACGCTCCCTTCGGTCTGCATCCTATGAATTCCACGCTTAATTAACCAATTGATGATTCAGGCGGTGTCTATGTTGCTGACAAGCATAACTTTATATGAAAACAATTTCATATGATTTTAGTAGCCCATCGGTGTGCGTTCCTATGAAATTTTTACAGGGTATGGACATTGTTATGGAAAAAACTGAGTGCCTGATGGACGACATCGTCTATTTTCACGACCGAAACATTAAACTTCGGAAAGGAAAAGCAGTTGCTTAAAGACATTATAATAAATAAATTATATATAATATGAACATTGTAAATATATAATAGTAATGTAAATAAATATAAATACATAAAATGTCTTCGGTTGGTCGATATTCTAATAGCAGAAGCGTGCATATATGAATTATCAAACAGGTACCAACGTGGTGTTGATTTAAAAGGGGAGGAAGTGAACATCATTTGGTACCTCTGTTTCGTCTCATTCATTCCTCGTCTCATTTCTCTCAGTATTGTTGGCTTGGTAGTGTGAGCAAGATTTGTGCTAACCGCTTACGACACAAAGGGTGGGCACAGTAAAAGCAATGCCTTGTAAATTTGCTCATCGCGAATTGACAATAGAGGAAGTTATACGAATAACGAACACAATTTCTCAAAACGGTCTTCTGAATTTTGATAGAGGCTCACAGTGCGGACGCCGAGCTTAGGCCGATGTCAGACTTTGCGAATCGCGCGATTCGCTAGCGTCTGCGGTCGCGTCGCGGCCAGTGAATCACTCAATTGGCTGGTACCGCAACGCGACCGCGGACGCTAGCGAATCGCGCGATTCGCAAAGTCTGACATCGGCCATAGCCCGTTTTTCCTGTACGCCCCCAGTAACGCCAAAACAACGGGGAAGGGTTGGTCCAAAGTTTTTTTTTTGCTAGAAAAGAAGCCAGCCACAATAAGTTTTAAAATACTGGGATCTATTGAAATATTTATTGAATTGGGTTGAATTCAACGGACCCATACGTAGTAAGGCACCCACAGGAACAGACAAGCTACAGCATGGATCGGCGAACCGGCAAAATAACGAGAATATCAGGGCTGCGTAATCCTTTGGGGAGGGTTGTTACCTAAACTGGGTCTAGAAGAGGGAGGAACTCCGTGGAGGTGGGGGAGGGAAAATGAAAAAGTGCTCACACTCTCTTGTGCGCTCCACGATTGGTTGGATTGATGTTGACTTCCAGGGCTTCATGTCGAAAATGGTACTTGTCGATCCAGATTGGCAACACAAGGATAAACAACTTCCGGAAAAATTCGTGGTGAAGGTTCGTATCAAGCTTGACAACATTGCTTTTACAATGAAACTGAATTTTACTCTGGCTGTATAATTAAAGACGGGATTCCATTACGCAGTTATGGAAAATCTTGCCATTTCCAGCAGTTTGAGTTTTAATGAATTAAAGCTGATCAAAGAGAGAAACGCGTTTTTCGGCTATGAAAAGGGACTGCCAGTTGTGCTGTAGAACAACTACCATTTCCATGGGAAAAAGCTCCAGTTTCACTTGTGATTTTTTTTCAGAAAAAATGTTATTTTCACCATAGTTTTTTAGTTCATTTTTGAATTAATTTAATTTTTTACTATTTATTGAAATTTGGTGAAAATCAATTTTTATTATTACTGAGAAACTCCAGTTCCAGATTCTCACTCAACTCGCCATGCAAAAAGTCACGGCTGAGATGAGCGAAATGCACAACACTGAAAACTCGTTCAGTGATCCAAAGTTCAAGGCACAATTGGAGGCACTGCAGAAAATTGTAAGCTCATCCAAACTGCTCGAATTCTCGCTTGGTGGGCTGCTCCCTGATCGAATCCTGTCTTGACGGTTACGATAATGCCCTGCAGCGCCAATAGGGCTCTATATTCTACACGGTCTCGTTCAAATATTCCATCAACTTCCATTTGCAAAAATCAAACCATTTCAGTGCCACAATGCCGAAGTAAGAACTTACAATCATCTGATGAAGGTTCCTGAAGGGAAGATACAGATTCCAAAGGTTTGCTTCTCTTTACAGACTGTCATGTAAATATATCAAAGCAGATAAGATTGGTTACTTTTGCTATTTCAGATCTACTACATGAAAATGTTCACGGAATGGAATCCAGTCAAAGGATATATAATCATGGAGTATTCTGGATAATTTAAAAGCAGTACATATTTTATGAGAACGTTACCACAAAGGAGGTGAAGCAGGTAAACAGCTTCTAGAAGATTGAAATGCTTCACGTAGATGCGCCAGCATTCCATCGCATTCGAGTAACGAACGCCATTGCCCAGAATGTGCACATAGAACACATTGATGTCATTCGATTTAAGATTCTCGACATAAAGCAGTTATGGAAGCGAGTTCACTCGATATGTCTCCAGAAGAGAGAAATGAGTACATTTCCCCTTTTAAAACCATTTTCAGAACTGTCTTCAAAAAGGAGGTACGGCTCGCTGTTTTCAGGTATACGGTCAGAAGAAAGGTCTTGCGATTCGATAAAAAAAACCTTTCAGGTACTGGATCAAATGATGACGTTATTCACCACATTTGGTGATGGCAAGCTTGCGAAAAAAGGTGAACATTATGAAGGAAATCCTCCCGGACCTTGTCGATCTCGACTGGGTTGATAACATGGCGAAGGAACTTGGTAGGTATTTCTTCGAGCCTGTGAAGCGAAGAAAATAGTCAGAATGGAACGAAGATATCGAGCTTATAAATATGGTTGGAGGGAGGGCAAATAAATAGTTATCCGTTTCGCAGCGTGACTTCAGAATGATAAATGCTAAACGGCCAACGGCCTCACCTCATATCGTGTCATTAACAAGCCCGAGATGTGAAAAACCGGTGGGATTGAACACGCTCTGTAGAGGGAATACTACAATTGCTTCTCGTACAGGAGTGAGAATTATGAATGAAAATTGTGCATCGAATCAAACTTCATGGATATCGTTTATCATAAAAGGTAGAGATACATAACTTCTTTGTGGTGTTCACACAGTTTTCTCTATTCCAAACATGGTGAATTTCGATTGCGATTGACAGAGGCCAGCCTCTGCAGTTTTATCCTCTTGAGCATGTCTGGTAACCACTATTTGACCGGCTTTAACTACTGCGAACCTTTTTGGTGGGCCCAGCACGGCATACCAACATTAGGAATGTAGTCCCTGTGATGTGCCCTTCTGAAGGAACGCCACCTGCTCTACACCAATTTCGCCATGGACATTCAACTTCGTAAAAACAATTATAGGAAAATATAACAAAATAAAATATAGTCGTGAATTAGGACAACAAATTTGTAAAGGACAACGTGTGCAGCAGCTTTTTTGCACTATCGCTGAAAGATTCAGCGATATCGAGACGGTGTAAAGCTTTCAGGAATGGAAAACGTTTTGTGTCATGGCGATTTATGGTCCATGAACGTGCTGTGGAGGCAAAATGGAGGTGCCCTTAACATGGCTGCTGTTGTGGACTATCAGGTAACTTTTGAGGAATCTCTGGGACAAATCTAAGCGCTATCGCAAGATACGGGACATTGTAGTGGCAACGCAGTCAAAACTACGTGAAACATCTCCTTTGGAAGAAGAGGTCTACATCTAAGGCGCAGGAGAGAGAGTTCAGGGTGACCAAGCGATATCATACTCCTCAAACCCTTTTTGCCCATCTTGAGCTTAGTCTTAATGCCCCTATATCTTGCGATAGCGAAATCTTATTCCTATGTAAGCTTAGTCTTGCTATCGAAACACTTCAGACAGCCCACTTTGGTTGTGCGGCAACCGATCTTGTACGGGTATTCTGCGCTTGCCTGAGCGGTAAGGATCGGACGAGCACATTGGGAGGAACTGCTAGAAGAGTTCTACGGATATCTCAGGGAAGAAGTGGGTAACAGAAAGATGCCATACACTCTTGAACAGGTGAGTAGAAAATAACAGAATATGCCACATCCCAGCACGAAACTTCCCCAACGTCTCTGTTAAATACGTTCTTTTATTCAGCTCAAAGAAGCCTATCGCCAGTATTTCCCCATCGGCGCTTTCATGATAGTGCCTATGGTTGGACCATTTTTCGAGATGGTGTGTAAAAGTTCCGACGAGGAGTTCAAGAAGAAGGTACTGTTACAGAAATTTGGCGGCACGCAGCGCCGACTTTCGGGCCATTTAGAACAGCGCTACCACAACTTTAGACCGACATATCAGTGCCATCCCCTTTGAAGGAATGTTGAACTTGCTGCCATTGCTCCCCTTACAACCAATGTCGCGATCCATCACAGTTTTCCATTCCTGTTTGTGCATTCCTGGCCATTCCATTCTGATGGAAGATGAATTTTTGCAGTGTTTTGGCGTTTCAAGGCGCTTTGAGATTACACCTCAGAGTGCTTTTTGCTCTTTCGAAGGATAGAGTGGTAAGCTAAGGAGCAAGCATAAGCTAATCACCGAGAACCTATTCTCAGACTCTGAGCTGTCTTAATCCCAAACTGTGGATTTTTTACCGTATCAAGGGCTGCAGCCTATCCTTCCCCCAGAGAAGTGTCCCATGCGCTGCTTCTCTCCTTATATGTACTTGAGGGAGAAGGGTTGCAACATAGGCCCTGTCATTGAACGCGTGATGTTGTGGTTGCCCTCCTATGTTGACACACTCCTTTCTCTGGAGGGTTGTCCGGGGTCCAAAAACGCCGAGTATGGCCGGCTTCATGACGCAACCCTGTCTTCCAACCATCGGATAAGATGCACAGCGGGCAGCGTCTTCATGGGAAAGGACAGTACGGCCCCAGAAATCTCTCAACTATTTTCTGTCGGCGCAAGGGTTGTTGCTGGAGAGCAAAGCATGATTCGGCCCGCCCCTTTGGGGAAGGGAACATGGTGAGCGCTCCCTTTGGTCTGCATCCCATAAATTCCACACTTAGTTAACCATTTAATGATTCAGGCAGTGTCGATGTCGCTGACTAGCATAATTTATATGTAAAACGATTACAAATGATTTCAGTAGCCCATCGGTGTGCGTTTCTATGAAATTTTTACAGGGTATGGACATTGTTATGGAAAAAACTGAGTGCCTGCTGGACGACATCTTCTACTTTCACGACCGAAACATTAAACTTCGGAAAGGAAAAACAGTTGCTTAGAGACATTGTAATAAATAAATAAAGTTAAATATATATATGTCATAATAATGTTCTCGGTTGGTCGATATGCTAGCGAAAGCTTCGTAT